TATAAGTGCCTCAAATGACACATTTCGAGCTATCAAAGCCTTTGCAACAATAATGCGGGAAGTAAGAAAATTTTTTTTCATTACTTATTTCGTCGCTCATGCTGCAATTTACACGTACTGCTATGGAAGCAACAGGTATAAGGGGATGTCCATCAATCATTCTTTACATTTCTATCATCCAAATTTCGAAACTCTATGTGGGATATCTGCAAGCACTACCCAAATTGATCTGTGCAAGAGTGATATATGCATTGCTGGAATGTCATTGTCATGTTGATAACACACTTTCAGCATTGTCACATGTGTCACACTCCTTTATGGGTTATTTTGGGTAGAACTTATGATAATCTTACATCCAGTTAGATCATACAAAAAAAGCTTAAAATAAAATTAATCAATATCTCAAAGCTGTTGGCTTCTTGCTGACTGTGCAGCACAGTTGAGCCCCTAACTGTTGCAGTTTCCAAAAATACAATTGATGTTTAAGTTGCAAAACAATAAATATTATTTCAAGCAATTATTCCATCTAGTTAGACAACTGTCTGACATAATTTTCTTATAATTATCTGCAAAGCCTGATAAACAAAAGGTGAAAGCAATAGCCACAATCATAACAAAGCATCTTGCATTAGAAATGGACAGCCAGAAGATACCTATCCAGACACTTACACTTAGCCGAAGAAATGGTTGACAATAAAGTCTCGGGCCTCGTTGCTCTCAGCACGGTTGGCTGCTACGGGCTCAACGGGAACCTCAGCGGGGATGGCGGCCACGGGTGTCCTGCAGGGGTACCTCTTGGCCAGGTTGTGGAGGGCACAGCACGCGACAATGGTGTCGCAGCACCGTTCTGGAGCCATTCAGAGCTCAGCGTGAAGGCAATGGAACCTCCGCTTGAGTTGGCCGATTGTCCTGTACAGAGCGCATGGATCAAAACCACATGTTATTCCTTCCCAGAAACCCAATAGCAAAATCGGACAACAGCGTGGAACGCAAATACTCAAGAGGATGACACGCAACAAGGACAAATTTACAGCTGAATTCGAATCGCAAATTGGCTGCCGTGCCCGATATCACACCTCCTAATTTTTCCAGCCCAAGCTCCAGCCCATTGCTCCAGGATATCGAAAGCTGGGCATTATGCATACCATTTTATTTTCCTTCCGAATTATTTTTACACTGCGTTCACATCCGGGGTCACCTGAGGTTAGCCTGTGCAATGTGTTTTATAGAAAGCAACAAGCAAAGTGCAGCTTTATTCAAGCGCTATCCTCAAAGGGTTTCGTGGATATGCTTCCAAGCAAACACCTGCATATGCACAGGCCAATATGTTAGAATTTTTTGCTACCCGATTGCTGCCAACGCTGTAAGAATTAACTTGTAACCAAGCTTTATACTGAAACAAATACAGTACCATCAAAATTTCATTCTACATGTTACTTGTGAGACAGAGTGAAAAGAGAAAGAGAGCCAGACTCTTGTCTTGTTGAGCCTTTCCCCTTCCACTCTCCAGGAATAGATGTTCGTGGTAGCGCAACCCATCTACTTTCGTCATTGATCAATAAGAATCCGTCTTGTAAGTCTGGGAGATGTAAGACGTAAAGCACTTGATATAACGCCTTATCCAAGTACTCCTACCCTTTGATTGTGCCGCTAGTGTTCCTATTAGTTAGAGGTCCACGCACCGCCATTTCTGACTCAAGTGGAAGCTCCTGGACGCATGCAGCAAAAGTTTTGGTAGAGGGTCTTATGGCGCTTTCACAACGGAATCCAGTGATGTGATTGGCCTAAGCCTTTTTGGAGCACCTTTCGGCGCAGCCAAAACAGTGTTTTGGAGCAGAAAAAGTGGCCTTTGGAGCAGCCAAAACAGTGTTTTCGAGCAGCAAAAGTAGGTTTTAAAGCAGATATTCTAATCAAAATCAAAATATTTGTTTTAAACGCTGGACACGCCAAGGGAATCTTGCTCGCCGTAATAAACCAATTATGGTCAAGTTCGGCCACCTAGGAGTCTTTCAAGAAGTAACTGAAATGCCAATGACATGACACATTTCTTTTTGCTTTTCGAAACATTCTGCAAGGCTGGAGCAAGCTTTGCTTTAGCTTAGGGTAGTAATGAATGTCCAATTTCAATGTCTCCAAAGAGACATTGCGACATCCCACAAGTGTACAGTGCTGTAGGCGTTGCCAAGCAATTCCGAAAAACCGCTTTCCGCCGTTTTATTGATTGCTGACGTCCAGATATTTGTCAAGAGTAATTAAATGTAAAACAATGAATCGCAAGCGTCCCGGCTGGTGATTCTGTCGTGAAATTATGTTCGCATCGTTGGTTCTCATGCACGTGAGGGCAACTCCGGCAGGCTTGCAGGTGCACGTGCTTCGTCGCGCGAGCGAAATGGCTGTTCGATCGAAACCGAAACCATGCCTCTCCGCTCCGTCGCCAACTGGTTGCCAAACGTCTATGCAAAATGTAACTGCCCAGCATGCGACAAAGAAGAGTTCAGCGCCGTGTGCTTGCAAGGCCGGCAGGCGAGGTATGAACTAAACACAGAAAAAAAGAGCCTGAGCGCATTGATGTAAGACATCGCGAGCCAGGGTCGCTTTGTGGAACGACTGAACTCGAGATAAACAAGCGCGCTCTGCGGGTTCAGAGTGCAGACATTCCCTTCTTTGCTTTAGCTCACTTAAACTTTTTTTCGCGACACATTTTTTACGTACCGGGGTCCCTCTCGAAAGGAAGCCCACCAAGAAAAACCTAGGTAATCAATACTTCGACACAGCAGTCTTTGAGTTAGAGAGGGATTTTTGTAGCAGCGTATGTTTTAAACAAGAACATGAATGTTGATTAACATGCGGCGGTCCTTATGTTTCAGTTTAGGAAGCTCCATATCTGCAACGTCGTTTGGCCGTTGATTTCAGGAGCGAGAGCTTCAGCTCAAAAAGTAACTCCCGCCGCGCCGAAACATAGTTTCGTTTCACAGCGTCACGTCATGGCTGGTACCCAGCACGCTAGCGTCGCAGCGCACTTTCCCGGCATCTATCGCTAAAAAAAAAAAAAAAAAAACGCGAGACGAGACACGCTTACGAGACGACGAGAACGTGAAAGAAGAGGCGGCATGGCGGAAAAATCCATGCAAAAAACCATGGACGATTGATGCAGGGTATTTTGTGTCGCGCGGCCGTTTTCGCCGCCTAGCTCATGCATGCTCAGTTACGGTACTTAGTTTAGTTTCGGTTTTGAAAGGCGACCAAAATTGGCCCTTTGGCGCAGGCTTGGCGCAGATTACCCATATTTTGACAAAATGTAGCAGGATGTAGCAGGGTTAGCCCCTTGGCGCAGTTTGGCGCAATTGGCGCAACCATCACATCACTGGAATCCCAAGCAAGATTTGCCTGAACATTTGAGATTGCAGCGACTCATCATCAGTCGTGAATGACGTGTAAGATGGTGTCTAGAGACTATTTGTGGAAACCTGTTATTGCATACTCAACTTCAACATTGTCCAAAATGATGCCTTGGCACTACTCTTAAATCCATCGATGAGAGCAGAATAGGTCATGCTAGGCATGTACTCTTGGCCAATCGGTCAAGACGGTCAGCAACACACAATCGTTTGCGACTTACAGCGATGTGCCGCTATTTTTGGATCACACGCATCTTAGCACGCACGAGCTTAGCTGTACTTGTGCACTCAATATGAGTACATACATATCTAGCACGTTTAGTTAGTTTCCATTAAACACCCCGAAACTGACATTTCAAAAAGTAGACATATGAAAGTGCCAAGGCACAGTGTTACTTCCACTGCTGTGTCTAGGAAAAAAATTCCATTGTCATTAATGCTTCTTTTTGTCCAATTAACAAAATATCAACTTCTGTCCGGGTCTTGCATAGCACTGGCACCTGAGGTGAGTTTAGTACTTGTCCCCATTATTGCCAGTCCTGGGGACCTAAGACATAACTGAGGTTCTGCATTTTCAGTCTCAAGCGATAAAACCCAATAAAGTGTGGTGAGGTAAGTTTCGAAAGTTTTATTTTAAACTTAAATGGTCAGTACTTTAGACCATTACAGGTGCATGTGACCGAGTAAACAGAGTATAGAAGCATGTGACCGAGTAGTCAACTATCTTATCTCCGTGCTTTCAAACAATTCTGTTGGAAGCACACTTTAGGAAGTATTTGGGTTTGTCATCGATGCAATTTGCGTTCCTTTGTCCATCATGTTTGCTGTGGTCGTCTAGAGGGCGGATTTGGAGCGTTCTCATTGTTTGTCAAGCCATTTGGTCTTACTTTTGTTCTGGGAGGAATGGAATGTCATTCTGTTCCTATTGTAGGGAGCATAAAAAAAAACAACCAAAGCCGTTTAAACAGCCTCTCTCAAGGTGCTATCTGGTTAGAGGAAAGCAGCTTTAATAGTCCTCCACATGTGAAGAACAAAGAAGCGTGCCAAGAATTACGTTTGCGAATTTTGCGATTAAGAATTTGTCGTCACAGCACATGTATAACCAAGGTTACGTTTGCCATGTCCGCAAGTGTTGCCGCTTGACGAATAACTCAGATATGAACCTAATCTACTGCATTCTCGACAAACCTGCTTGAAAAAAAACGTAACTGGTCAATAGATATCGACCGGAAAAAGGCAGTAAGCTTTCGACTAAAAATATTCATCGATAAAAACTGAAAATTTCATACTCACAATAAAAACCGAAAAAAGTATGCAGATTCCAGAAAAACAAAAACTGAAACCGCAGAACCCTAGGCAGCTATTATAAGTTGTATTGATTCGTAATCTCAGGATACTACTTTCATCTTGCTTACATAAAACCACGGTATCTTATGCTTCGTTAGATTAATATAAAAATTGGTATGAATATTTTTATGCCATAAAGAATAGCAATAGACGTAAGGAGCATGCACGTGTTGCACATATTACGTCAAGACAGCTAGTCGTCTCGAAATGTCTTGCATGAATATCTCTGTGCCCTTCACAATATATGGCCTAGATTTACCATTCAACGATGCTTCTTGTCGTCGTGTGTGCCGTATTGTATGCGACCTCGGCTGCTGATGACGACGACAGGAATGGCGTCATCAGCCATGGTTGACAGGAGTAGCCGCTGTCACCAAGCAGCAGGCCGTCGTACTCTCCACTGGCCAGCTTGACTGCCAAGGTGCTCTCCGTGAAGATCCGAGAGTCGTGGGTGCTTCCAGGCCACCTTGCAACCACGTTGCGAATCCGAGAAGAGGCGTGAACGACCACCTGTACGTTGATGGAATGGTATCCATGGCGGTTGACGTACGCCTCCTCGTGCACATGGGGTGCCTGGATCCGGACATGGGTACCGTCAACAGCACCCACGACCAAAGGAAAGCCGGCCATGTCGTAGAACTTGTGCTGCAAGGCTGCCCCCTCCGCAGCGTCAGGCCATCTGCGTCGTTGATCCCCTCAGCAATTAAACCACATATAGCAAACTTACAGCTACAATGCTCATGAATACCTTTTTAATGAGGAATGCTAAGGACTTTGGCTGTGCCCTTCAAGTATGTGGTAGCAGTAAAGTGCCTCAGTAGCACCTATTCAATAGTGAAGTTTGCATGTTTTCATAGGATCCCTTTTTATTTTTGTTCAGTTACCAAGACCTATAAAGTGACTGTGATTCGGTGCAAGTCCTTACCAAAAGTGCAAACGGGTCGCTTTCTGAGGTTTCTCAGAAAAATGGCGTGCCCGGGCTTTTTCCAATCGGGCAAGTAGGCCGCTTACGGCCGTAATCATTTTTTTTTCTATTGAAAAGGGGGGGGGGGAAGGGGGGGGGGGGGCTAGTTACCAGTAGGTAGAATATTACTGCCATAAAAAGGCAACCTACAAAACATCCCTATCACCAGCAATTCAGATATATTTTTAGTGTATTTACTTTACTTCAATACGGCTGGCAAACTACAATTAAAAGGAAAAAAAAAGGACCCTTACCGTATGAAGTCTTGTGCTCGACGAGCCAGCGCTATGGTGACTTGCCTCACAGCCCGTGAAGCACTTGACACATGCACGCGAATGTAGTCGCCTGCAGTGATCAGAAAGTTCCCAGTTGCGTAGAACTGCAAGGCGATGATCACTTGCTGCTCTGCAGAGAGGGCGCGGCTACGACGAGCACGGCGCTCCAAGTCCGGACGCAGTGTGTCGGCGAGAAACATTATGCCCGCTCTTCCAAATCGGAACCGTTGCTGCAGCCCATCCTCGTCGAAATCCTCAAAGGGGTCCAGGCGGTCCCGCAGCACACGCTGTCGCCTCATCATTGCCGCTGCGTACTGCGCGTCCGTGCGGTCTCTTCTGTGTCGGCGATTCCTTGCGTTGGACATTCTGCCCGGTAGCAAAGTCGGAAATCGGTCCGCAAATCTTATCAGTCAGTCCGTGGCCGGTCGGAGGGTTTGTCGGTGGGTCGGTCGGTCGAAGGGCAGAATACAGACAGGAAAACTCAGATGATAACCGAAAACGAGAAACGCGCGTTGCGTGCAACGAGGCAAAACTGGTTGTATAAACAAACGCCGTGCACGCGACACGGCACACACGGCGTTGCCAGACTTGGAAGCGACGGTCGACGCACTTGCTTTTTGCAAAACGCGACAACGGAAAACTGCAAAGCACTTTGACTAGGTGTCTTGTCTACGCTTCCACACTTCGAAAGAAAGAATTTCGATGCAAAAAAGAAACTATCCTTTTTCTTTTCAATTGAGCAAACGTTTCTTGCAAGTTACAACTAGATTCAGCCGAAAACGGTTCCCATAAAGCAAACGTTGTATCATAAAAAAAATAATGATTTATTTTTTTCAGCACAAGGTGGCGCAGGCTCCAGCCCAATAATAAAGGACGGAATTGTTTTATGTCCAGCCATTAAAGTTTCGTACTAGGTACAATGTAGGTACAACTAGGTACTTTCGGTACCTGCTAGGGACTTTGGCCAACGCTAACCGCGGTTAGCTCTTCGAGCAAGCGGGCCCTGGTGGTGTTTTGACCTTAGGAGCACAAGGCCCATCCACCTCAGGTTCAACAGGTTAGGTTATTATTGGTGCATTAGCTAGAAGCTTATCATGCAGATATGAATTTTGACTCATGCAGTGATGTGATTGGCCTAAGCCGTTTTGGAGCACCCTTTGGAGCAGCAAAAAAAGTGTTTTGGAGCAGCAAAAGTGGCTTTTGGAGCAGCTAAAACAGTGTTTCGGAGAAGCAAAAGTGACTTTTGGAGCAGATATTCTTAGAAAAATACAAATATTTGCTTGAAGTGCTGGACAAACGAAGGACACTCTGCTTGCCGCAATAAACAAATTATAGTCAAGTTAGACCAGTAAGACCACCTGGGATTCTTTCAACATGTAACTGAAATGCCAATGACATGACACATTTTGCAATGCTTCAGTTAAATGATACATATATATGTACCCGCTATAAGTAAATAAGAACCAAAGTGCACATATGAAAATTTATTCGAAAATTACCATCTTAGTAGTAAATAGCGCAGCATTAGGTTGACTACTGATAAAATAAATGAAAGCAGTCTCCAACGGATGAAACACGTAACTACTGCACTGCAATGCGAAATTGTCGCGCGAGCGGAGATGGCTGTTCGATAGAAATCATGCCACTCCGCTCCGTCGCCAAGTGGTTCTTAAAATTGTATACAAAATGTAACTGTCCAACATACGACAAGAAACAGTCCAGCGGCACGCGCTTGCCAGGCCGGCAGGCAAGCTACAAACTAAACACACAGAAAAAAAAAAAAAAAACCTGAGCACATTGATGAAAGACATCGCGAGCCAGGGTTAAAAAGTTCTTGGAGCGCTTTGCGCAACGACTGAACTCGATACAAACAAGCGCGCTGTGCAGGTTCAGCGTGCAAACATTGCATTCTTTGCTTTAGCTCACTTTTCTTCACCAACTTTCTTTCGCAGCAGATTTTTCACGTACCAGGGTTCCTCTTTAAAGAAAGCCAACCGAGCGAAACCTAAGTAATCGATACTCTGACAAAGCACCCTTTGAGCTAGAGAATCTTTTGTAGTAGCGTATTAAACAAGAACAAGAATGTTGATGAACATGCGGCGGTCCTTAAATTTCATTTTAGAAAGCGATATATCTGCAGCGACGTGGGGACGGCAACACCCGACGTCGCGCGACCACGGTGACGGAAAGGCAGGGACCAAATATAGTTTACCCATGGCCGTTGCTCTCAGGAGCGAGTGCTTCTGCTTATGAAGTAACTCCCGCCGCGCAAAAAAAAGTGGTTTCGTTTCCGAACATGACGGCATGGCTGGTACCCCATGCACGTTAGCGTCGGAGCGGCCGCACACGCCCGGGTCTATCGTTAAAAAAAAAAAAAAAAAAAAAAAAAAAAGCGAGACAACGAGGGCGCGCAGCTATACATGGCGGGAAAATCCGTGCAAGACCGGATGAACAATTGATGCAGGGTACTTTGTGTCGGGCGGCCGCTTGCGCCACCTAGTTCACGCGTGCTCCATTACGGTACTAAGTTTAATTTCGGTTTAGAAAGGCGACCAAAAACGGTCCCTTGGCGCAGGCTTGGCGCAGATTACCCATATTTTGGCAAAATGTAGCAGGATGTAGCAGGGCGAGCTCCTTGGCGCAGTTTGGTGCAATTGGCGCAGCAATCACATCACTGCTCATGAGCTATTGTCTCAGACATTATTGTTATATGGTTGTTGCTTCTAATTACCAACATGGCTTAAAAGTCACAATTTATCATTATGAATTGCGTTTTAATTTTTTACAGACAATAAAAATTATTTGGTTTATCTTCAGGTTCCTACTCTCGGGCTGCTTCTATTAATATTTCTAAATAATGTAGTCACCCTTAAAGGAAAGCTGCTGTTATTGTGGCGATGATATGAAGGTTTTTAAAGGTGCTCATTTTATTGTTGATTGCAAGAATGTTTCTCTGCACGCTGTGCCTAATGCCTGGCTGAAGACATTCACACCGCAGTGGTGTACAGCAAAATAATGGCTCCTAACATACTGTAGTAGTATACAGTAAATTAGTTGCACCTTAATCCTATAAAAAAAACTTGAGTTTTACTTTTGTGCAGACATAACACCTGAGAATATTCTTGCAGCCAATGTAAAGAAGTGTACAGGATCTCGACGAAAAAAGGATGGCCTTTGACAACGAGGTATTTGTAACTCTAAACTTCAAAGCTCTTTTCGTATCTATTTATATATTTATTATTTCTATATAAATATACATCATTATTTATATATGTTATTTATATATTTATATATTATAAAAATTTATTTTATATCTATTTATATTTTTTACATCTAGTGACATGTCTTGAAAAGCCACCACCCCAACCGTTTTTGATCTGTTTCAATCTGCTACTATTTCAAAAGCAAGTTCTACATCTGAAAGTAATGAGGCTCGTGCTACAGCAAAACAGAGAACTTCTGGAAGCCCTGCGAGCTGGAAACATGCTCGGTAAAGCCACATTTCCTCACTTCTGCCAGAGCCATTCAATGAAGTGCAAGACTCAACAACATTTGACGAGACAATCCAGGATGCCACAAGAGATCAGCTGGTAAGAGTCTGCTTAATATGCACTGGTAAAACTTAGGGTTATCTGTAAATGGTTTACAAATACTCTTGTATGAAATTGCAAATATGACAATGGGTATCTAAGTTCACATCAAAAAAGAAATAACGGAGCATTATTCGTTTCTCGCTAGGGGTCATACACAATCTGCAAAAGTGGCGAAAGCAAGACTTTAAAATGGGTGTCTGGCCAGAGTATATGTATATATCATACATCTCATTTCATAAATAAGCACAGTAATTGATTGACTGATGCAGTGACCCAAGCCACTCAACATTTCTGTTTGTCATAACTTCTTAGGGCGCATATTTCTAGGTACTGTTGTTATACAGAGCATATGCCACGTCGTGTGTGTCCTCTAAACAAATCGCAGAATAATCTGATGGATATATATAACATAAATGAGAATTTTGAGTCAACAAGAGGTTAGGCAAATTTTTGCTATCACTGGGGCATTTCCTTCTCGGGCCCCCGTACCATCTCGCCGACCGGCCACAACAGGAAGAACTACCTCCCCTGAGCGCAGCGGCAGTCCCTCGCGGGCCAACCGCCCCAACACCCACTCCCAGTAACCCCCGAAGTCCCCAAAAAAGAAGCCAAAGTGAAGCTCAAGAGGTTCACCCGGCCGCCACCGCGAGCCTTCCCCACGCTGACCGCCCAAGTGAACCCATCCCCCTACCACGGAACTTTGTGGCACCCCCCCGAATGCATCAAGCTCATCAACAAATGGAGGCCCCCCAAGGCATTCCACGTGTCCTCGACCTCGTCCTCAGCCCCGCCCGGCCTACAGCCGCTCTGGTGAATGGAGTGCACACCTTGGTGCTTATCCAGAATGTCCTCCTACCAGAGGACCTCCTGGCTCAACCGATACGTGAGGCTGGCTTTCCCGCCCTCTTGTCTCCGTCCTCGCCGGTGTCCGGGCCTTCCTTGGCCGCCGACTCTCTGAAGGAAACCTCCCCTCCGTCCGACTTCCCTCCCGTGGGGTCGGACGCAGGGGAACCCTCCCCCTCCTTAAGCTCGGCGTCTGAGCCTTCCTTGGACTCCGGCGTGGACTCCAACGACGGGGAGGACAGCCTTACGGATGCCGCCCTTCACATCCTGCGATGGCTTGCCATCCACCAGCCCTCCCCGAATCTCGGTGACGCCGAGGCCGAGGCCGAGTCCACCAACAGCCGACGGCCTTTCCAGCTGGCCCGCCGCACCACGCGGTCCGACCAAGTGAGCAACCCCCCCGTGTGGATTGGGAGCTTGCCTCCCATCTTTTTAGCTACTCCCCGCCCTTCGATCCCACCTCCTTAAATTTTTTCTCGCGGAAAACTTTCGTTTTTAACGGTAGACCCCACCCCCCGTGTCCCAACTCCCCATGCTTAGGGACGCCGTGGCATCCAAGAAACAGGCCGGCATCATAGAGCCCACCAAACGAGGACCTTTTCTTTCTCTGATCCAAGTGGTGCCCACCGTATATTGCCGCGTATAAGTCGACTCCAAATATAAGTCGACCCCCTTAAATCTCAACCCCTAACGATAAAAAAAAATTGTTTTTTTTTTTTGACAGAAATATAAATTTTAAAAATGAACATTTATTAGAACTTAGCACACGGTGTAAGTAAGGACAGCATCAGCCCAGTGATCTGCCTTTCTTTTTCTTTCGGCTGTGCATAAGAAAGTAGGTTTTTCATTTGACAATCTACAAATCTACATTTAAAAATTGTGAGCGTGATAAATACACCGCCTACAGCACCTTTGTGAAAAGTTTAATCTCGGTGCATTCATTGGCCTATTTATACTGCATTTTTAAGCCTGAATATTGCTTGAGGATACTCTGCAGTATATGTTCTCCGGATGTCATAAGATATATCAGACACATCCTGTGGACATTGTGACTTCATCGCCAAAACATTTAGTGGA